AATGTCACTTCTAAAGCTCCACTTCACCTTAACTGAATGTCTTTTCACGCTCTAACAAAACTGCACTAAGAGAGCCTGGAGGGGAAATAAAGACCCTGCTGCTCTTAAAGGAATAAATGTCTTCAAAAGAAGGCAGGAGTGGAAGCAGGATTACTCTGATATTTTCAAGTGTACCCTGAAAAATGATGGTTTCGTGCATTTCTTCATAAATAAGTCCCTTGTGAACTCAGGCTTAAAAGTTAACAGGGGGAAAGCATATTTCTTGTAAACCATTTTTCATTAGTCAGTCTATGGGACTCTGTTGGAAAACATGGCCACTAGTTATTCCTAATGAGGTGCATAAGCACCGATGCTCCGAGATTCCTGTTAATGTGAAAAAGCTACATGAATCCTGAGCTGAGAGAGAATGATTTTAAACACAAGCTGGTAAAATGAAGCAAATATTGTTAAATGTTCAAAAACAACAACCAGCTCTTCAAGCTAATAAGTGAATGTTTGACAGGAATTTAAATGGTTAAATCTTTCTTCCAAATATTTGATAGTTTATCATCCTGCTTCAAAGGGCTTTTTTCGTTCTTAAGATTTGTAGCTTTAAAGTTGCATAAACCTTTTTTTATATCAACAAAGTGATCTTTTTTAATTGTCACATCAACAATTTATGTGAAATACTTGATGTTTTTCTTCTAAAGTTTATTTTTTTTATCTGAGTCTGAATAAAGGTTAATGAACCAATGTTAATACAGAGAAAAAGAGTAATACATATTTTTACATTCCCACATTTTTCAATAATTTGAAAAAAATTATAAACTGTCATTTTTTTTTATCAATAATTAGCTTTAATTTGTATTTTTGTAACGTATGTACCCTAAGCAAAAAAATTTTTTAGGGTACATACAGACATTCTTGTCTGTCTGTGGCATTTAAAACATGTCACTTCTCAGGTCTTTAAAAAACACAAGATGTGAGCATGAGGAAAAAAATTTGGTTTTGCATTTGATGTTGATCCAAGTTTCACAGGTTGGCCATATGTTAGCTTAAGTCATGAGCCTTTTTAACCTTGTGCCTCAAGCTGGATTGTCACAAGATCTTAGTTTTGAGTCTCACAACAAATCCATCTTGAAAGACTCCAGCTAATACATCCGTCTCGTAACAAGTAGTGAGTCAGACCGATGAGATGCCAGCAATGTTTTTTGGGACTGGACATGTCATCGCCATGATTTTGATTCATCTTCTACTTGCATCCCACATTCGTTGATTGTCCTTGCAAATTTTTTTTCATTAGAGGGTTGACGATGTTCAAAAATCTAATTTGTGTTCTTAAAACAGCATTTATGCGCATGTTTGTCGTGCAAATTCTAGAAAAATTGTTGCACAATGACATGACTTCTCCGAAAACATCGAACAATGGTCTACATTTCAGTAAACACGTCCCACCTGTCATTCCTGGTGCACTTTTGAAAAGTCAAAAACTTGCTGCTACGATTGCCTGCAAGCGTATTATGGAAAGTGGGTAGGATCTGGCACGTCAACCAATCTGCTCGAAGTATTGTACTAAACGTCTCTCCTTTTCATGGACAGAATGAACGCAGCCATCTCAGATTGATAACATGCACCTCAACTGTTCTACACATATTATTTGATATTATTTTACACTTACCAAAATGGACCATTGTGATTGCTGCTCAAACTTTACTCCCTCCAGCTGTTAAATTTAAAAAGAACAATGCAGGCCCAGCCGGGCTACGGTATAGCATTGGATCAGGGCATGTGTTAATGAGCACAGTTCTGGCACAGAGCCGTACACCACTCCCGACCGTTCTAAAGATCTGGTAACACATACTGTAAGCAGATGAGGTTTAGATCTGCATGCTGTTCAGGTAACAAAGATCATGAACATTTGGATTCTAAGTAAAAAGCCTATAAGTCATTTATCTAACCATGCACAGAGGGAGCCACTTAAAGTTAGTGACTGAAAAGGGCATCTGCGGATAGGGTGCCTTTAGTTTGTCAGCCAGCTGGCCACAGATTTCCATGCAACGTGGACCACCCACTGCATTGATGTAAATAAATAAACAATAAAAACACCTTCTTGTGAATATTGTAAGTAGATAACACCTTGCTTGTTCTATTTATGGGATGGGATGGGCAATAATTCATGAATCTCAGATTGAATTGTAGACTTGAGTTATGTGTTTTTTCTATATCATAAATAAAGGGCGAGATGCACTCCTGTTTGGCTGAACTAAACTAAACAGCTAATTATTGATCTATTTCATTCATATTAGTTGAACTGGGGAAATATCTAAACACGGGAGTAAAATAGGCGTTCATCCATGTTGTATTTGGATTAGAGAGGCTGAGAAATAAGGTCTCTTGGACTATTTTCCTCATGTTAATGAGACCTGAATGAGGGAAAAGAAACAAGACCCCCACAGCTTTGCTTTGGTTTTCTTACAGAGAAGGAGCACTTCGACACTAAATTAGTCAGATGAGGTGCATTCAACATCAGATAAAGGATCATCCTTAAAATACAACCACTGGAAAACCTTGAGGCAAACTCAGAACTCAAGTTTTGGACCTATTATGTGTTCAACTTTGAACTGGACAAGTAGAGGACATCCGACAGGACAGACAGAAGGACAGACTATTGGCTTATATCATTAAAATACTTAAACCAAATTAGAACTTTTGATTTTGATTGACATTTCATTTTTTTGCTTTTTAAACCCAGAGTTGAAATAATTTGCTTTAGAGTTGTAGTCAAGACCACACAAACCAAAACCCAGGAGTGCAGAGACTAAGACAAGGCCAAATACCAAGACATATACCTTATATAGTGTTGGCCTTTTAAAGGTATTCACCTTGTCTTAGTCTCAGTAGTACATGGTCTTGGTTGGTGTGATCTTGACAATAACACCAATTTGCTGTTTGCACAAACATCAGAAAGATCCCATTCTAAAATCTAGAGTGAAGGTTTAAGTATAACAGCCTTAATTCTCAAGTACCGTATTTGACTCTTGAAACCTAAAAAAATGGACTTCACCTTCTGAAAAGAAACTGGAGGATTATGAAATTATGCTTTTTTATCTCCTTTTGGTGGAATTTAAATCAATTTCTGTAGATGAAGGTCATATTCAAAGACCTCTTTTGCACAATTAAATTGATGCATAATCAGTCATTATGCATCAATAATTTCCCAGCAGCGCACTGACATGTCAGAGAGACCTCAAAGAGAGCTCCGTCTCCCCTCTGTCTCATTTACCCTCTAATTTACCTGCCCATCGAGACCAATGGAGGAAAATTTGTTGTCATAGAAACTAATCTGCAGAGGTCTGGAGGGAAGGGTCGCTTGGAGCACAGTGGTATTTAACCACGCACACATGGACAGAAAGAGCAGGTCAGAAAAAAAGAAAAAAAAAAAAATCAGCGTCCATCAGAGGATGTTTGATCTGAGCACAAGAACCCAGAGGGCAGCCTTTTATGGAGCTCCAGCAACAGCTTCAGAGACTGGTTTCTTTTTAAAGACAGGCCAGTTTGCAGCAATAAAAAGCTTTATTACACTCTTATTAATAACACTGTGATTGATTTGTTTCAAAATGCCAGCCTACTCCGCCCTAACAATAAAATGACCCTACACAAGGCATATTTTTATCACGTGTCCCTAGCTAATAATATGTATTATATAATAAAGACTGCATAGAAACCACCCAGCTGTATGAATTTACATCTTTATCAAAATTATGATTTACAAGAAAAAAGACAAAATCTGTAAATGAGCATTAAGGTGGACAGACGAACAGACAGACAGATAATTAATCCCAGAGGGAATTCAAGGTCTCAGTGGCTTACAGACATTGATTGCTCACAACAAGCACTTACTGCAGAAAAAGTAAAAAGGTCATTTTAAATTCCCAAAGTGGAGAAAAACGGCTTTAATTCAGTTCTGCATGACCGCAATTTGGACTTTGTGGATGAACTGATGTCATGCGATCTTGGAGATAACTGATGGTTGGATGGAGCAGAGGGACTAATAGATTGAAGCATCATGTAGAGTCACACAAGCATTGCTAAGAGCCAATGTTCTTTAAAAGTCTATGTTCTAACCCTAGTCTCGACCAAAAGATGAGATTTAGGATACAAACAGCTGAAATGACCTTTTTCCCATGTATTTGAGCTTAGCCTAAGATACGTTTAGAAGCTTCCTCGTCCGAGGTAGGCTCAGAGTACAGTTACTGCTCCTCCGAATAGTAAGGACTCAGTTGGGATTGGTTTCTGTTAAAGGTGCCTCCTAGGCTGATCCTTTTAGAGGTTCTAGGACTTTAAAAATATGGTGGCTCAGACCCATTGGCAGAATTATATGCTTGGGTTAGAGCATGAAACGGCCCAGTGGGCAAAAGATGTCAATTAAACATCAATTTGACATCAAACACCGATATCAAATTGTTATCAAAATTTGGTCAAAAAACGTAAATCAAATTGACATCAGTCCTTTGACATCAATTTTATGTATGTCAAATAATGATTTTATTTATGTCATTTTGACATTACTTCAATGTCAAGCTTTTGTAAAATTTCACTCAAATAATGATATTGATGTTATTTTGACATTGTTTTTATGTCAAACATTTGCAAATAAAAACATTTAAAAATATGCACAGACGGAAAGATTCTGCAACGTTTTGTATTGCAAACAGACTTGGCTTCATTTACTTAGAGAAATGTGCGGTCTCGCGGGACCTTCATTAGGATTTTAAAAAAAAAGTTCCTTTGAGAAGGAAATGGCCTAAACAAACCCAATTCTGTTTGAAATACAAGACAGCTGTATTGCAGTTCTGCAGTGTTTCATGCATGGCCTTTAAAATAGCAATTCTGTAAAGTATATTGTCAATAGTTCTAATATTAATCATTTTTGGATCATCTAAACTAAGTTGATGTTCTACAATTGCTATTTTTCTACAAAAATTCCCCCATGGCATTCTCTCAAAGATCAAACATACAAGTATAACAAAACATTTTTATTCTAAAACATTCCAAAACATTGATTTCAACAGCTGTGTAGTTTAACAGGCAACTGACTACAAATATGTGAACTATAAATTGTACACAAACAACAGCAATGAACTAAAGTGAAATACTTTATAGATTTTGCAGTCATTAAACATTTTGAGCTGCAGCAGTCTTGCGACCACCACCACCTTTCCTGTCTGGCGCTGAACGCAAATAGGCCGCCATCCGGGAAACAATGTCAGCTTCACTGGCTCCAGGCTGTGATAGCTGAATGGAATCTGAAAAGATAAAAAAAAGCAAATTGTACAAGTTTTGAGTATAAGATCAACATGGAGGAGCGCCCCACCTAAGGAAGGACTTGTCAGTTCCTCTTGTGACTCCCATTTGTGTGTTGGTGTGGGAGAGGGTGCAAAGAAAACATAAATACACACATGCACAGAGATCTATGAACATATGACACTGCACACAGCCTCCACATAAATGTGAGGGGAGGGGTGTGTCCTGAATTGTTTCTTTGAAGATTAAAATCTATCTCTCTCTCTATATATATATATATATATATATATATATATATATATATATATATATATATATATATACATACACATATACATACATATACATTCACCCGGAACATGGCTGGAGATAGGCACCAGCACCTCCCGACCCCACTGAGGGATAAGGGTGTAAGAAAATGGATGGATATATATATATATATATATTTTTTTTTTTTGTTGTTGTTGTTGCTTTGTGCCTTGGAAGATTAAGAAAGTACAAGTGAGTAGAACGTTTATCTTACATTTACACTTTTTTAGATAAAAGCAGCAAAAATGGTTAATTGGGCAGTTTGCTCAAATTGAAAAAAAGAGCATGCTGCTTGGAGTTTTTTGCATCAAATCTGGTTCTAATAATGCTGTTGTTAGTCCTGCGTCAAAACAACATAACCTGAGGCTCCAGCACCAAGACACAGGAGAATCTCATTGATATTTAACACCATGGATGACGAGATGTTTATACTGGAAGAGGAGAATCCACTTTTTTATATGATACGACGCATCCCTTTTATAGCTAAGGACAACGCAAGAAAAGAAAAAGAGCAGATAAAGAACGCGGATGCAAAACGCAGGTAGCACTGGCCAAATAATCACTTTATTGTTCTATTTAAAGCCTACAAGTTTACTACTGTTGGGTCACAACGTGATCGGAGCGCCGAGCCGGTCCACTCTGAAACACTCCTGGTGGAATAGAGTGCCGGGCAGAAACCGCGACGCAGATGCTCAGCAGACGCTCCGCTTTCAGTGGAACCCTGGGGTTACCAGACTGATCCGCTGTGTATACGGCAAGTTAGTCTGGCTGGCCAGGTTAGGCCAGAGTTTCCCCAAGTACAGTCCTTGAGAGCTACCAACCTGCAATGTTTAGATACGTTCCTCCTCTACCACCCCTGGATCAAATGATTTGCTCGTTAGAAGGCCTCTGCAGAGCTAGTGAGGGAATTCAGCCTTATGAGTCATGTATGTTAAAGTAGGGACACATCTAAAAGTTGCAGGATGGTAGCTTTTGAGGACTGCACTTGGGTACCTCTTATATAGGCAATAGGCAGGTCAGTCTAGATAGGTGACAGAGCCAAAACTGAAATTCTACTTACCTATCATGACCTTGCAAAGGGTCATTCTTCGAAAGGCTCCTTTTCCACCGCCACCATCCATGTTAAGTCCAGACATAAGCTTATTTGTAAGGACTCTGTCAAACACATACAAAATTAAATCAAGGTCAGGTCAAGGTACATTGGACAAATACGGGTCCTTCCACAAAATTTGCAGCCAAAGTGTTAGTCAAATTTTAAAGTTGAACTCTGCTATGTAATTCTTAGGACAAACTGAACTTCAGTCTATTGGGGCCACTAAAGTAGGAATGAAAAGAATGTGACTTTTGACATTTTTATGAAAAATAGTTAACTTTTTTTAAAAACAGACTCACAACATGACAGGGACACCAAACTGTTTTAACAATATATGCGGAAAATACATAAATGTGTCTATCTAAAAGATGGCAATCTAAAAACACAAAAAACACATTGGTTAGACAGTGACACCAATGAGAGGGCTGGTGGAGTAACTGATTGGTTTAGCTGGTTTTCAGTGAGCTCTGAAACCAGAAATGTCATGGAAAGCTAAACGCAAAAGGTAAAGTAAAAAGTAAATGCAAATTGAAAAAAGGATTTGAAAATGCAAGGTGAAAAAATAATGGAAGTGGAATAAGAAATTATCTTTTACAATTTATGAATTGTTTTAAAACCTCCATTTATAAATAGGATTTGAAAATACATTTGCAGCATTTAATGGTGGATTGATACATACAATTTATAATTCCTCTTTAATAATTCAATTTGGTCCCACATCAGCCTCCTTGTATCGGCTAGAACAGGAGGGAGACGTCACAGAGGGCGGATATCAGCTGTCCATCCTAGAACTAACTTCATCGCGGTTGCTGTGAAATTCCCTTTCTAGAATAACCGTGTTACGTGTCCACATTATAATTGAATCCTGATGCGCAAACTTCCCTTTGATCCGGCCTGGATTACAAAGTGGGATGATGATATGTAACTGGACTAAGCCTCTCCTCCATTGGCAGCGCCAGATTCGGGCTTCACTGAGTCAGCACCTTGAACCAGCAGCTCCAACTGATAAGACTGACCCTCTGTGTGTCACAATGACTCCCTCAACATGAAGTGGGTGAAAATCTTCCACCTTAAAAGACCAAACCGTGTCGTAACTACCAGCATATACTCTGCTCACTGCGGACTCTCCATGATTCAATATGACAAATCAAGCTTACGGCTCCTTTTCCTCCAAACTGAACACGTCCCCTCTTGTGTATCCCTGCCTACTTTGAAGAATTTTTTTTCAAATTTGCCTGTAGGTTAAAATATGGTTTTACATGGGGGGAGGGAGACTAACCTTCTCATGATGTTGCTCACATTTTCCCGAAGGCTGGCTCCACCAATCTTCACCATTTGTCCTGTCTAAAGAAATAATTTTGCTTACATTATGTATAAATACACACTTACGGGGGTATTTTTAGGGTATGAAATGTAGTGTGGATTTGTAACATCAAAACAATGTTAAACACAGATTTTTTTGTGACTCAGCCCTGTTACTTTTTTCTAAAGGTGCACACACACAAAACAAATTGCAGAGTTATCTCCGGTAAAAACTATCGTATGTCCCCAGGGTACAGAACGACATCAGTGTGAGCACCAACCTCCTGACACACCAAAAAATGAGCATGTGCCATCTACTGTTACGCTGAAAAACAATCCTGAATTGGAATGGTTTGGATTTTTCCCCGTCAACTTACCACCAGTTTTCTTTTCTTTTCATCAAATTTCAGCTTTTCATTAAGGTCTTTGAGGTCATCCATGGAGTCTATGACTTCCAGATGAAACACTGAGTCCAGGGGCAGCGATCGCAGGCCAGCTTCAGAGAGTTTTGCTCTAATGTCCGCCAGCAAAAAAAGCACTCTCCTTTGGAACTCTCAATGTAAAACAAAAGACAGAAATATCACTTAATAGTCTGTACAATAAGGTATTAACGGGTTGTGACTTGTTTTTAGAACACACTTACTCTTTGGTTCCATTGGGAAAGCATTTTTGCCCTCATGGGAGGATGCCAACTCTTGAGATCTGAAGTTGGATTTCTGGCTTCGCCTTGACGTGGATCTGGACCTGTTATGATGCATTGGTGTTTCCACAGTTCTTTTCTTGCAAGACCTCCAATTGTGCAATTATATTCTTCATCAGTGGCATTTCTTTTAAGATTCTTCTTTGAAGATTTTGAATTTCACAACAATGTTTGAGAAAGGGTTCCATTTCTTTCTGAAAAATGATCACGTAGCTTTTAATATAATATTTGTAAGAATAATGTTTTCAAAAATGTTTAGAGTGTACCAATACAACCAGAATTACAAATAAAATCAAATGAATTGCAGAGTCCTACCGATGGGTAGAATGATGCATTGAGGAAGATCTGGACCTTCTCTGATGCACTGGGGTTTCCATGGTTCTTTCCTGGGGAGATCTCTGGTGGCTGTCCCTAGATCTGTAGTGTTGACTTGACAGATCTGGAACTACTGCGGCACATTGGTGAGGTTCTTTCCTGGGGAGATCTCTGGTGGCTGGGAGTATAAAAATATGACATAAATAATTACTTTGATTAGTATTGAAATCACAATTTTACGCGATTTATTATTCATTCTTTGAAAGAACATTTGTAACAGTTACAATTTTTATTTAATGATTTTTGAAAAAAAAAGAAATGTTAATATTTTTAAAAATGTTTACAATTAATTGCGGAGCCCTACCGATGGGTGGAATGATGCACTGATGTGGATCTGGACCTGTTGTGATGAGTTGGTGTTTCATGTGTCATGGTTTCCTGTTGGGAAGATCCCTCATAGCTGGACCGGGATCTCTTGGGCAATAGTGGGGTGGATGTAGACTTTACTGGCGTTTCCAGGGTTTCCTGCTGGCCAGATTCCTGATTCTCCATGAGGCTGAACATAGATCTGTTATACAGGTGCTGGTCATAAAATTAGAATATCATGAAAAAGTAGATTGATTTCAGTAATTCCATTTAAAAAGTGAAACTTGTATATTATATTCATACATTACATACAAACTCATATATTTCAGATGTTTATTTTGTTTAATTTTGATGATTACAAATGACAACAAATGAAAATCTCAAATTCATCATATCAGAAAATTAGAATATTGTGAAAAGGTTCAAAATTGATGGCCCCTGGTGCCACACTCTAATTAGCTAATTAACTCAAACCACCTGCAAAAGCCTTTAAATGGTCTTTCAGTCTAGTTCTATAGGCTACACAATCATGGGGAAGACTGCTGACTTGACAGTTGTCCAAAAGACGACCATCGACACCTTGCACAAGGAGGGCAAGACACAAAAGGTCATCGCTAAAGAGGCTGGCTGTTCACAGAGCTCAGTGTCCAAGCACATTAATAGAGAGGCGAAGGGAAGGAAAAGATGTGGTCGAAAAAAGTGTACAAGCAAGAGAGATAACCGCACCCTGGAGAGGATTGTGAAACAAAACCCATTCAAAAATGTGGGGGAGATTCACAAAGAGTGGACTGCAGCTGGAGTGAGTGCTTCAAGAACCACCACACACAGACGTATGAAAGACATGGGTTTCTGCTGTCGCATTCCTTGTGTCAAGCCACTCTTGAACCACAGACAGCGTCAGAAGCGTCTAAAGAGAAACAGGACTGGACTGCTGGTGAGTGGTCCAAAGTCATGTTCTCTGATGAAAGTAAATTTTGCATTTCCTTTGGAAATCAAGGTCCCAGAGTCTGGAGGAAAAGAAGAGAGGCACTTCATCCACGTTGCTTGAAGTCCAGTGTAAAGTTTCCACAGTCAGTGATGGTTTGGGGTGCCATGTCATCTGCTGGTGTTGGTCCATTGTGTTTTCTGAGGTCCAGGGTCAACGCAGCCACATACCAGGAAGTTTTAGAGCACTTCATGCTTCCTGCAGCTGACCAACTTTTTGGAGATGCAGATTTCATTTTCCAACAGGACTTGGCACCTGCACACAGTGCCAAAGCTACCAGTACCTGGTTGAAGGACCATGGTATCCCTGTTCTTAATTGGCCAGCAAACTCTCCTGACCTTAACCCCATAGAAAATCTATGGGGTATTGTGAAGAAGAAGATGCAATACACCAGACCCAACAATTCAGAAGAGCTAAAAGCCACTATTAGAGCAACCTGGGCTATCATAACACCTGAGCAGTGCCACAGACTGATCGACTCCATGCCACGCCGCATTGCTGCAGTAATACAGGCCAAAGGAGGCCCAACTAAATACTGAGTGCTGTACATGCTCATACTTTTCATGTTCATACTTCTCAGTTGGCCAACATTTCTATAAATCCTTTGTTTTTATTGGTCTTCAGTAATATTCTAATTTTCTGATATGATGAATTTGAGATTTTCATTTGTTGTCATTTGTAATCATCAAAATTAAACAAAATAAACATCTGAAATATATGAGTTTGTATGTAATGTATGAATATAATATACAAGTTTCACTTTTTAAATGGAATCACTGAAATCAATCTACTTTTTCATGATATTCTAATTTTATGACCAGCACCTGTATTTCTTTGGCACTGTTGGAAGGACAGGGCCTGTTGGATTGTAAATGTTGATGCAACATTAAAAAAGACTAATCTCTACACACAGATAATTTAAATTTCTGCAATACACATGGTTACTATGTTCTGAAGATGAATCTGCCTCACTGCAGGACATTTTGCTCTGTGATTTATTCACTGATGAACCTGTTGAATTGCAATCAGTAACACAATATGCAGTTAGACAGGCATATCTGTTAGATCTAATTCAAATACTAATACTACCAATCCAAATACTGTTCGGTTTGTTCTTAAACTTACTACATCCAAG